CCAAGAGCTTCATCTGGGTCTCCTGTGTGAGTGCAGAGGCCCAAGCACTTGGGCCATGTTCTGCTGTTTTCCCAGGCACATTAGCAGGGAGCCCGATCAGAGGTGGAGCAGCCAGGACTCGAACTGGTGCCTGTATGGGATGCTGGCACCACAGGTGGCAATTGAACCACTATACCACAATGCCAGCCCCGAGATTCTGTATTTCTGATAGACTTGCATGAAATGCTGATGTTGCATTTCAAGTAGCCCAGTTAAAGAGTTTAGCTGTGTTTCATCCTAAGGGTATCAATCCCTATTTGCCTTCTTTTGGTAACATGGCTGAGCAGAACCCCAATTGATTCATCTATAAAATGTACTGAATGCTCTTTAAGAACCCTTGAAACTTAGCAAATACAGCCTACAGGTGCAGTGCGCTGGAATTATTGTTGAGTCAACTCTGGAATGAGGATGGGGAGTCTGTCCTGGGAACAGGACCTTGTGAGGTACCCAGGACATTTCTGAAACTCCCTAGGGGGCCCTGGGGATGTGGAGAAGGGTGAGGGCTCAGCAGAGAGCCTGCTGGTCACACTGGGAGCTGCCTCTTTCTATTTCTTGGAGCCTGGGTTGCAAGGCCGGGATGACGGCATGTTTCTTGTGTTTGAGCTCAGGATGGTTACAGCTGTGAGGATGCGAGGTCAACATGCACAGAGCTGTCCCAGAGAGTGTGACAATGACAAGAAAATGGGTCATTTTATAAACGTATCTTATAAACGCATTTTATAAACGCATAAAGTGTAGAAGAACCTTTACAGCTCAACAACAAGAAAACATCCACTGCGCATTTGAAAAAAATGGGCAAACTATTTGAACAGGTGCCTCTCCAAAAACGCTGGGAAGATGACAAAGGAAAATACGAGAAATAGTCCATATCCCTTGTCATTAAGGATCAAAACACAAATGAGATATCGCTTCACATCTATTGGAGAGGCTAAACTGACAATATCAACTGCTGAAGGTTTAGCAACAGGAATTTTTAATCATTGCCAGTGGGAATGCAAAATGGTACAATCCTTGGGGAAGAAAGCTGAGTAGTTTCTTATGAAGCTACATTCAATCTTATCATATGATCCAGCCATTGAACTCCAAGGTATTTACTCAACTGATTTGGAAGCACATCTGCATAGAAACCTGCACACGGATGTTCGTAGCAGCTTTATCCATGATCAGATCTGGAACAACCAAGATGTCCTTCAGTAGCTGAATGAGTGAGAACACCGTGGTGTGTACATACAGTGGGATGTTCCGTGGCAGTCACGAGTTCTCAGGTCACAACACGTCATAGGTGAATAGTCAAGCTATTGCTAAGCTAAAGACAACAATCTGAAAAAGCTACCTACCACAGGGTTCTAGCAACGTGAACTTCCAGAAGAGTCAAAACTATAGGGACAGCTTTTGATCAATGTGTAGCGAGGTTCAAGGTGGGGTGGGGGAAAGGTCTGTAGGATATTGTAATGGTGAAGTCAAGGTATCTGTCAAAACCCACAGAACTTTATAGCACAAAGAGAAGGCTTCATCTACAAAGTTGAGAATAAAACTTAGGAGGTTGGGGAATGTCAAAGTGGGATGCAGAATGGGACGAAGGAAGCCCACTGCATTGCAAGTGTATGAAGCAATTCATTGGAGTAGGTGCGAGGATCGGGTGTGAAATAGCAACTTAGGCAATGAGTGGGGTGTGGAAGACTAAGGGCAAAGGAAGTAAATACAAGCACCATTATCCGGCTGACAGTTGTCTCCCTCAAAGGTGGGCATCAACAATTCCACAAGATCTACAGCCGTGTGCTGGAACTGAACGATGATGTAAAGGTTGGCAGATGGTAGGGCTGGGTTTCTCAGGGCTACAGTGGGACGCTACAGATCAGCAAGGTCGCACTAGAAGAAGCCATAAGGAAATGGATCAGAGACATCAGAATGAACTCATGATAAGCTTGACCAGATACAGGTGGGCATTTTTATAGCTCTGTGCATACTCATGGGTTAGTATATGGGTACCCCCTTGCTCCCTTAGCTGAAATGGCTTAAAAGTCATGACACCCATAGCTACTTAAAATGTCCACATCCAGTGCTGAGAGCTTGGTTTCCAACATCATTGTCCAGGGCAGGGAGAAATGGCCAATTCCAGGACTGGGACAGGAAACACACAAGACTGGAACATCTCATAGTGCCGAAAGTAAGCAATGCTCAAAACACAAACAACAAACGTTAACCTCAAAAACCAAGCCCACCATGATGCGACTGTATCAAAGGATCCAGGACATGGGGGCCGTGGGGAGAATAACCTGAGCAACAAGACAGAGAGGCATGGATTATAACCTAAAGAATAAAAAAAGGTCCATGAGCTCAAGGTGCAATAAATTGTGCGAATAAATAAACAAGTGGGGGAGCACAGACAAATCTGTGTCCAGCAGAACATTAGTTTGTGTAGAGTCTCTGCTCTTAAAGAGACAGAGTGTCAGTCCCCCATCCTTAAGTGTGGACCAAACATAATAACTTTCCTCCGAGGAGCACGGTGTGGGAAGAGAGGAAAGGTAACTTCACAGAGGAGCAATCTGACAAAGAGGCCTTCCAGCCGGGGTCGAGGTCAACACCGCGAGAGTTCAGTGGCGTTGATAGTACTTACCTTTTGTACGCCGGGCCAAGGATGACACTGTTAGCTCTGCGACCTTCCTCCCCAGGCACCAGTCATGAGAAGAAGCACCAGACAGGTTCGATTTATGGGACACTTGGGCAAGTACTCCTCAAGGCATCAACGAGGATGTTCTGAGAAACTGTCACAGCCAACAGGAGCCCCAGGGGTCAAGGTGACTCAATGCCACGTGGTATCCCAGATGGGGTCCCAGAGCGGAAATAGGACATGACGGGGGCAGGTGAGAGACGTTCAAGGAAGTAGGAACTTAAATGTCTCAGGATGGTCTCAAATCCGTGTGATAAATATACCAGTTAATATGAAGATGCTGACAATGCTTGTGACATACTGTACTATCTTCAATAGTAGCTGCAGATAGAAAATCTAAATTTATTTAAAAATTCTTTGTGACAAAAGAACAATGCCTAGGAGTTGGGATAGGCTTGGGAAGAATGGAGTTGGCGTGAGCGGTGCGGCTCCTCTGGGTCAGACACAGCATCCCCTTGCCACGAGCTATTGAGCTCTGTAATCTTTACAATGGCCCTGCGACAGGTGCAATGCAGCACGCACTTTCCAGACGCAGAGAGGCGGAGAAGGGCAAGGAAGGGAGACGGTCCACGGTCAGATAGCTACTCACGGGGGAGGGTGGAATTCTACAAAGCCTACGTTTCTTTCCCTTTCCAGAAAAATGCACCACAAACTTAGCTCTCAGTTCCATTTGCCATGAATGTTTTGAAGTACCCTCAGATAATGTTCCTGGGCCTCAGTCGGCTCATCTGTAAAACGGGGCTAGCAGCAGTTCCTACCTCATAGGTCGTGGGGAGCGCGTTAATGCTTGGTCAAAACAGTTGCTCCACACTGCACACATTGCCCTGTTATCACCATTCCTCAGTATTTCTGCCTCCTTTAACCGCTCTGTCCCCATTTTGAAGTGCCAATTCCAGGGGCCTTCACTCAGATCAAACCTTGCCTCCTCTGTGCCTTTTTCTAATTTGTACTCCCCTTTGTCTGCACTTAGAAGGGACTCAGGGACCATGCATGAGAACATGGAGCTGGAGGGGGAGATGGGGCAAGTGGTAAGCGGCTGGGTGGGTAGATGTGTTCTGCAGGGGTGGAGGGAGGTGTGCAGGTGTGCACCCCGCCCCACAGACCCCAGGTGGGGCTGCTTTGGGTGAGAGTCTGGCTGTGTGCGGGGAGGTGTGGGGGAGCGAGGGGGTGGAGCTTCCCATTGCTAACTCCCTTGCCTCCAGCTGTGTCTCCTTGCTCTGTGGCCCAGGGCCCGAGAGCCTTCCTCCTGCCTGGGCGGGGAGTCCCTCCTAGGTTCCCTGCCCAGCTCTGTGTCCCAACCTCCCTGCCTTCACACTGGCTGCTGCTGAGCCGACTCTGAAGGGTCTCTGTCGCTCCGTTCATTTTTTTTCTTAATATTTATTTGAAGGGATGGGGGGGGGGGGAGAAGGTCTTGTATGCACTGGCTCACTCCCCACATGTTCACAGCAGCCAGGGCTGGGCTGGGATGAATCCAGGATTCAATCTGGGACTCCGATCTTAGCGGCAGGGAGCCACCTAATCGAGTGCTCACCGCTGCCTCCCAGGGCGTGCTGGCAGGAAGCTACAAGGAGGAGCGGGGCTGGGGCTGGAAGCCAGGCTCGCCCGCCCGGGAGGCAGGCATCCCGAAGCCTGCCCCTGCTCCTGCCACTCCACTCCGTCTTCACTACGCCTGCGCGAGCTGTGCCTGGAACCTGACCTCCGTGCTCCAAATCCCGAGTCCTGACCAGGGCCTCATCTTCTGCATAGAAAAAGCCTAGGTAGCTTTTGAAACGTTCTGACTTCAAACACGGAGAGCTCAAGCCCTTCAATAAAGACGCGATGGCTTTAAATAGCCAATGAATCTAAAAATCACCCCGGCGCTCACCTCCTACCCTCGCTGCGCGCAGCTGGATTCAGAAATCAGAAGCCCACGACAGGGAGAGCTTGGCTCGCCTAATGCACTTGAATTTGGGGAGTAGAAACTTAACATTTCTGTGGCAAGAGCAAAAACAATAAGCAAAGCCTCTCTTCTATTCCATCTTTAAAAAAAAAATGTAGAGAAGGTTCCAGAACAACAGATTGAAATGCCTTTCAATACGCGTTCGGCTGAAAGAATTCAGACGCCCTGACGGAGATAAAGGTTCTCCTCTCCTTTAAAAGGCCACTAGCAGAGGCTCGAGTGTCTTTGTTCCCCGGACTCAAGTTGCAGGAGATACATGTCATTTCGAGAAGTATGGAACTAATTGAGGAATATGTCCAGCTCTTGTCGAGGTGAACAGGGCAGATAAATAAAAACTCTATCGCACATAAATCTTTGCTCCCAACATCAAAGAAGCAGGATCCTGCTAAGTGTATTTGTATAATGCAGTAATTTATGCAAAAAGCAGCTTTGATAAATGTCCCCTAATTTATTGTCATGTATCTCAAATCAAAGTCAAACATTTACAGCCTGAGCCTGAAGGAAGCCAGGCCTCAGAGAGCCAAAGGGGTTTGAAGTAGGTAAAGCTGTGTTGGGCAAAAGGTTAAACAGGATCTGGTTTGAATGTTAAGAACTTTCTACAAAGATGGTGGAGGAAAACAGGGCTGCGTTCGGCTCCGAAAAGCAAAGCGAGACAGGACTCCCGGTTATTCTTCTTCCGAGGGCAGACGTAACCCGTGCCCTGGGATGATCTGAAGGCACAGAACCAAGGCCTGCCGCGCACCCCTTTTGTAGGTGCTCCTAAAACAGATAGCAAGGATACTGGGCAGCATGTGCTGGTCCTGGGCCCCGCACCGGGCAGGCACTGTGCGAAGTGTGTGCCTTGGGAAGGGCTGGTGTTGCCAGGCTCACCATGCAGCCGGGGAGACGGAGGCACCATGTGGACCGTGGTGTTGGAGGACCCAGGAGGTGGCGGAACCCTGTGTGCTTGTCCCCAAGAGTGCTTCGCAGCTTAGGGAGAGAAGGAGGTTCCTTTAGCTCCCAGGTTTGGAGACTGAAAGTCCAGGTGGTACAGCGCAGGCTCCGGGTGGTGCAGCCCCATGGCCACTGGCCGAGCAAGTGCAGGAGAAAGACAGCATGCAGAGCAAGAGAGAGGGAGGGGCCGGGCTTGCTCCTTTCCTAACAACCCTCTCATCCGAACCACGGAGGGGACTTAAACCCTCGGAGCACAATGCCCCCTGTGACTTCATAATGTCCCAGCCCTTAAAAGTTCCACCACCTCCCAATACCCCTCCCTCGGGGACCAAGCTCGCGATACCTGGGACCTTGGGGGCAGCAAACCACATATCGATTTTTTGGTGAACACCACGCCAGCGACCTTTTCCTGCTGGGGCTACTCAGCTCTTCCCTCGGCAGGTAGGCGTCGCCACGAGCAAGGAACGTGTTCCCGAAGCTAAAGGCCTGGGGTTCATGATTATGGAGACTTTTTTTTTTTTTTACAGGCAGAGTGGACAGTGAGAGAGAGAGAGAGAGACAGAGAGAAAGGTCTTCCTTTGCCATTGGTTCACCCTCCAATAGCCGCCGGGGCCAGCGCGCTGCGGCCGGCGCACCGCGCTGATCCGATGGCAGGAGCCAGGAGCCAGGTGCTTCTCCTGGTCTCCCATGGGGTGCAGGGCCCAAGCACTTGGGCCATCCTCCACTGCACTCCTGGGCCATAGCAGAGAGCTGGCCTGGAAGAGGGGCAACTGGGACAGGATCCGGCCCCCTGACCGGGACTAGAAGCCGGTGTACCGGCGCCACAAGGCGGAGGATTAGCCTAGTGGGCCGCGGCACCGGCCTGATTATGGAGACTTTCATTCACTTCTCATGGCTTCCAATTTCTGGCTGTGTAGTTATGACCAAATTCTCCTTGTCTCTAAGCCTCAAAATGCCCATCCGTTGAATAGACCCAATGGCAGTGCCACCTTACGGGGTTGTCATGCGGATTAAATGAGGTAGCACCTGCCAAACACACGGCACAGGCGCAATCAACGGCTGCTGTTGCTATGTCATTCCTTCTTATCTGGGACAGTTCTGCATTCTGGCCCCAGAAGACAGAAGAGCCTAGGGCTCCCCCAACTACACTCCGGGAAGCAGCCGCAGTCTGAAGGTGCTGGGGAAACGAAGCGGCCGTGGTGACATCTTCAGTCTGAAGGGCTCTTCTTGCCCATGATGTCTGTAAAGCAAACATAACTCCAGTAGTAGTGTTGCCGTAGATGGCAGCTGTTTAAAGATGGTATCGCCCATCTGGTGGCCTGGCGTGGTCTTCGGGCTGGTTCCAGGAGGAAGAGCTTTGCTCTGGGATCCCACCAGCTGGAAACTGGTATTGCAAACCCGTGCTCAGCTCCCAGCCTTCTGGTGAATGAAGCTGAGAGAGGAACGGACTTGTTTCCCCCACCTGAGGGCTTAGCCCCCGAGGCCTGGGTCATAATACTCAGCTGGCCTCTGTCCAAGGCGAGGCTCTACATTGCATGGTTCAGGGCGTGTATGGGTTTCAACGGGGTTGAGGACATGTTTGCCATCACTTGTTGGTTTCGCTCAGTTCCTGTTGCCTTGGGCAGCGTGGCAGGACAAGGCTGCTCCCACCCAGACGGTGGCCGGGAAGGTTCACCTCCTTGACTTTTGAAATCTGCTAACAAAGAACTTCCCCCTCCCCCATCGCATACCCAACTTGCACCCTCATGCAGAATAGGGGGAAAGGCCCTTCTCTTGCAGCATGGACTCTGGGCCCCAGCGGGTTAGTCTGGAACATTCGCTCTCTGACAGCCTCTCTGAGAGGACAGACCATCTCAGGAAATCTGGTGCTTGGGTCTGAGTGCCGGGATCCTCACTTCCGGCTTCTGCCAACCTTGAGCCTAGCCCTTTGTCCAATGGGAATGGAGAGAGAGATGCAGCTCAGAGGATTGCTCCACACACAAGACGATCCACCTGTGGTATCGTCCAGACGCGACTTGGCGCTTGGTCCCTGTTCCCTTTCTTGGCCTCGGTGTCCACACCTGTGAAATGGCGAGTCTTCTTCCACGTAGCGGCACTGCTGTGAGAATCCACGGATACCGGATGCCGTGTGTGCAGAGCACCTAACCCAAACAGTAGTGCGCTCAACACTTCCCTCCTCAAGTCCTCCCCCGAGCTGTAACCCAGAGGTACCAGTACTCGGGACAGCATCCACACGGCTTCTTCCAGCTGCAGATACCACTGAAAAACCAGGGACGCTTGAGAGACCGTTAAAGAAAAGGCAGATGTGGACATTCCATCCGGTGCGTGGACTTCTCTCGGAGGTCAGACATGTCCTTGGGGAAACTCGAATCCTGCAGGGTGACCCTTAAGAAGCCGACCCTGGGCACCCGCTGCCATGCTAGCTGCGGCATCTTGGCACCATGCTCGCTCCTCGGCGTTCCGGGTCCCCGGCGGCTCCCAGCGGAGAGGAGAGGGCAGGGCTCTTCCAGACAGTGCTGGCCGGCCTGCAGAAGCCTCCAGAGCCACACAAGGCAAGCGCCAGGGACAGCCAGGGGTGGCGCCACCAAGAAACAGCCCACGAAGTCTCACTTTGATTTTTGGTGCTTTAAAGATATATTTATTTGAAGACAGAGCAACACAGAGAAGGAGATAGACAGACAGACAGAAAGAGATCTTCCATCTGTTGACTCACTCCCAAAATACCCACAATAACCAGGGGTTGGGCCAGGCTGAAGCCAGGAACCTGGAACTCCATCTGGGTCTCCCACATGGTGGGCATGGGCCCAAGCATTGGGGCCATCTTCTGCTGTCTTCCCAGGCGCATTAGCAGGGAGCTGGCTTGGAAACAGAGCAGCCGGGACTTGAACCGGTGCCCATATGGGATGTCAGTGTGGAAGGCGGTGGCTTAACTCACTGCACCACAATGCCGGCCTCCTCATTTTGATTTCAATCCACAGCAACCATCTCTCCTTTCTTCTTCCTCTCAACCGCACCCCCAAATATCCATTGCCCGCTGCTGGGCCCCCTGCCGAGGTCTGCAGGAGCAGGTCCCACAGCCCGAGGCCGGCAGAACTGTACTGACCCATCCCCAGTTGCACACTGTGTCCCCATAGCTACCGGGCCTGGAATTTGCTGGAGATCTTCGTGTTTTTGTCTTCCCTTGCCTCCGGGCAGGCAGCAGACCAGTCTAATTAGGAGACGTGGAAAGGAGTCCAGTTTTTTGTTTTGTTTTGCTTTGTTGGTTTTGGTTATATTCTTAAGTTCCCTCAGCTGCTTGGAAAGCTTCCTTTGTCTGCTCTTGGGCAGGGACCTTGCTAATCTATACAGTGCTTTTGTGCAAATTAGAAAGTGATGCCCCTCCAGGCAAGCACATGGCTTCCTGAATACGTAGTGGCTATGCAAAAAATAAAATGAAAAAAAAAAAAAAAGCCCCCGTGCCTTTTCCCCTAAGCTAGTGCAGCCCTATGTTGGGTACCCTGCCTGGTAAGTGGCACGCAGGCTGGACTTGATCTTTACTCACCCTTTGAGGGCCTTGTGCAGTGTGCAACCTATACATCCGTCTGCAGCCACTCTGCTCCTGGGGCTTCCTCATCTTCTGCCACCCCAGGGCCTTTGCACCTGTTGCCCTCTCGGTGCCAGGTTTTCCCACACATCTCCTTTCACAAGCTCCTTTTTATGTGACTCCGCTCTGACATAATACTCCCAAGTGGAAAGGAGGAGAGACCCACAGAGGGGCTTTGAGCACAAGGGGGACCTGCTAGGAAGCAGCCCTCCGGGGTTTCTAGAGGGCGAGGTAGCCGTGGAAAGAGCATGGAGGGGTGACGGAGAGAGTGCGGAACCGCCCTGAGTCTGCCGGCTTGGTCTGCGGTGTGTGAGCCGAGAACTCTGCCACGGTCTTGCTGAGTCTCCAGCCAGCTCCTCCGGTTGTGCAGCCACGGCCTTCGGAGCAGGGCTGGTCGCACGGGTGGGCGGCCTGCGCACTTGCTCTGAAGGCTCCCGTGCTTACAGCCCTGCTGTCGTCCTCTTGAAATTCTTCATCCATGGCCGGCGCCGCGGCTCACTAGGCTAATCCTCTGCCTTGCGGCGACGGCACACTGGGTTCTAGTCCCGGTCAGGGCACCGGATTCTGTCCCGGTTGCCCCTCTTCCAGGCCAGCTCTCTGCTGTGGCCAGGGAGTGCAGTGGAGGATGGCCCAGGTGCTTAGGCCCTGCACCCCATGGGAGACCAGGATGAGTAGGATAAGCACCTGGCTCCTGCCTTTGGATCAGCGCAGTGCGCTGGCCGCAGCACGCCAGCAGCAGCGGCCATTGGAGGGTGAACCAACAGCAAAAGGAAGACCTTTCTCTCTGTCTCTCTCTCTCTCTCTCACTGTCCACTCTGCCTGTAAAAAAAAAAAAGAAAAAGAAAAAAAAGAAAAAGAAAAAAGAAATTCTTCATCCTGTTGAACAAGGAGCCCTGTGCTTTCATTTTGTTCCTCTTCTCAGTTCTTATCAGGCTTTGTGGGGGCGGGGGGGCTGCTTTTTGTGTTGGCTTGTATCTGCCTTCATTCATTGTGTCTTTATTGCGTACCTACTCTGTGTCCACAGCTTGGGATGTGGCAATGAATGCCGCAGGTGAGGTCCTGGCTCTTAGGGAGCTCACGGGCTGCAGGTGCATGACGGGGAAGAGAATCAGCAACCAGACAAACACACAGGACATTGTATGGGATGAGAGGGGCAGGAAAGACATGAAGCAGAGGACGGCGGTGGAAAAGGGGTTCCTTTGGGTTAGGTCTTTAGAAAAGGCCTCCGGGAGAAGTGACCTTTGAGTTGACAGCCATGTCGTGCAATAAGCAGCAACCAGGCCATAGGGGACAGGAACTCAGGTTCCGAGTAGAAGGAATCCTAAATGCAAAAGGCCCGAGCTGGGACAGAGCTGTGGCTACAGGGAGCCTGCAGGTGTAGAAAAGGTTTGGATTTTAAATCAAAGGGACAGTGTGGGGGAGGTAACAGCACTAGGATTGGTAGCAATGTCTGCTCTTGGTGCACGGTTACTTTGTTCAAAGCCTTCCACAGACTTTCACCTATTTGGCCAACCAGGTAAGTCAGGTACTGTCCCCACTTTCCAGATGAGAAAACTAAGGTCCAGTGGCCCGAAGCCCCCCAGACCATCACTCTGTGCACTGCGACTAGGACTCAGATCCACCTGATTCTAGAGACA